AAAATTCAAGTTCACGTTATTCTTTTCCATCTGTTTGCCCTTCCAACCGATGTCAACCCCAAAGATTCCTTGAAAGGTCTCCTAAAAATCGACGTGAAAACTGAAAACTCTTTTAGATCCTGCTTGAAACTGGAATATAATATTATTAAAGAGAGCAAAAAAGCGGGGAAATGTCGTTTTTAACACCACCAGCCTCGAGCCCAAACCAATTCCTTATCTGAGACAGATCAATGTAAGACTGTTGATTTCAGATAAGCTCCACAATCTAATTCTGAGTGTAAATTAGATTTATTTAAAGTGCATCCCAAGGAAATGCTGAGGAAAAACCTGGGGATGGCACACAAGTGTTGGAGAAGCAAAGGGGGGAAAGTTCAGAGGGAGGAGATAAAATGACACAAAAATACATTTATTTGCTCCCCCCGGGCCCTCTGCTAAGGCTTTATGGAGGAGGAGAATTAAGCACTGAACATTTTGGTGGGTTTGGTGTTTAGATGTCCACACACACCCAGGGGTTTGTGGCAAACTGCAGCGACACCAAGGCCTGGTTGGGAGATAAAAAAAAGCAGGATCAGCCTCGCTCCACCCATGCAAATTCCCAGCAGGACAAACAAGCTGGAGTGGAGGCTCCAGCCAAACCAGAGGTGTTGCTTTGGGATGCCAAGGGCATTGGGATGCCAAGGGCATTCCCTCCAAACCCTCCCAACACACCCTGCCCAGGCCCGGGCACCGAACTGAAAAAGTCACCACGGCAGTGAAGACACAGAATTTCCCACTTTTTCCTATATTTTTTGGTTTGGTTTGGTTTTTTTCTTTTCCAACTGAGATGGTTTCGCCAACAAATCGAACACCAGAAAGTTCAGTTTTATGAACTGAGTATTTAATTGTAATTTTAATCATGAATTTTGCCATCCTACTGAAGATCTGCTTATTAAATCCTGGCTTTATGACTATACTGAGGAAGCCTCAGCTCACCTCTACTCCCAGTGCACCTCCAACAGTATTTTCTGTAGGATGTCCAGATTTCTTCTTACTACAGCCCAGAATCTAAAGCATTAAGTAGAAGAACCTGTGGAAAACAAACAGGAAACCAATTATTATAATTCTGCTTGGAAGAAACTAATTAGCTGAAACACTCTATGTCCTTATTGATATTGAAAACTAAGATAAAAATTTGGTTTTTATAACAAAATATCCTGAGAAGCACCTGAACTACACGGTTTGGATCTGATTTTTGAGGGCTGTGCTGCTGCAGAAATAAAAATCCCTCCTCCCTGTGACACCCCAAGGCCACAAAAGACAAAAAAAAAGGCAAAAAAGTGAAGGAATGAGGCTGCTCAGCCCTTCCATGAGAATGAGTTTACTTCTGTTCCCAGGGAAAAATCATTATCCAAGCAATGAATAATGGGCAGGACCAAACCACTCCAGGTGAAATAAATATTCCACACTCCACAGATATCCAAGCTTTCCACACAAGCTGTGCCCAAAATAGAAGCACTAATCAGGAGCGAGGGAACCTGGAAGAGCACAAGACAACCCTCAGCCTCCTAATTAGAGGTTCCTAATGAACCTAATGAAGCAAACAGGTCCCCTCAAATGTGTGGAGTTAAAAATACAACTCCAGCACGAGGAGGTAGCAATTTTCAGAGCCACACATTCCTGATCCTAATTATCCTGTGTCCCTGGACCATCAGGGATCCAGTTTTCCTGACTCCTTGGTGCACAGAGGCTGCTTGAGTGATGTTGGCAACAACATGAGGAGAATCTTTTTGGGGGGCCAAAGTCCTTCTTCATGGATTCCTTGCAAAATAACTCTGTTTCTCATGGAATCATAGAATGCTTGGGTTGGAAGGGACATTAAAGCTCATCTTGTTCCACCCCCTTCCACTAGGCCAGGCTGCTCCAAGCCCCATCCAACCTGGCCTTGGAGACACTTCAGCCCTTTGAATATCTCATTTATAAATTAGCAACCCAGTTTTAATCAAATATCGAGAGTTTAATCAAATTTCAGGCAGCTCGACAGCATTTAATGATTTCAATTTTCCCCTGCATTTGGAACTGAATTATTCCAGGGGCAGAACATTTGCAAAACTTATCCTGGATTTTCTGCAGCTCCTGCTGGGTTGAGGAAACTTTCCCTTTATGGGGAGGCTGGTGTGTAACTGGATCTGAAGCACCTGGATGGCAAATAAAAGGCACAATTACACCTGTGCCAGTTTTCTACAAATCCAGGCTCTCTCCTGCCCCTCTCCCCGGGGTTCCTATCGCTTTCCCAGGACAGGCCGATGCCAAATGGAAAAATTCAGAGAACATAAACACAAAAAAGCCACTCTTTGGCTGGTGTGAGGCACAGTAAATCGACCTCAGGATTTGATGTAGTCAAAGGTGTCCTTGTTTGCCAACCAGGCCAATAAATAATGGATGTTGTTTGACGTGGGCTTGGTTACACAGCTGCACCGGGAGCCCTTCTCAAATAAAAAAAGGAAAATATTGGCCAAAAAATGGCTTTCATATCTTATCTGGAATCTTTAAAAATGCTTGTTTTCTTCAGAGTGTCTCATCTCTGCTGTGCTTTCATATAATATTATCAGGCAGCGTGAGTAAATGTTTCATTAGGGCCAATTAGGAGCCCTCATTAACGAAGGGAAAAACTGTCACAACGTGGAAGATTAACTTATATAAACAAGAGGGAACACGGAGCTCCAGCTTTCCTGGAGGGAGGGAAAACAACCCAAGAGGGAAGGGCTGCTCATATAAAAAAAAAAACAACCAAGAATAAGGAACATCTCAAGAAAACAACCAGGCACACAATGGCTGAACTAATTAATATATTCCAGGAGGTTTTAAGGTTCATCTTACAGAAAAGTAGGAAGCTTGATTTCTGATTTTAATAAAATTCAAGCCTGTCTACATTGTTTTTCCTGGCAGCTCCTGCTGGAGGATTAGCAGATGGAACATGGAGATACGGGATGCAAATGAAACTTCCTGCTGTCATTTAGTAAAAGCAATTTTCAGGTGCTATTAGATAATTGCAAATGCTCCTGCTAAGCCTGTTAAATACCACTTCAGGACATAAGAGTTGGGGAATACACAGGCACAAAGGTATGTGTGTTCAGGGCTGAAGAAGTTTAAACCCAACACCTGACATCATCAGGTGTTCCCTGCAACAAAGCAGAGAGGCCAAAAAATGAAAATTGGATTTATCTGAAAAGGGCAAAACCCAGCTCCTTGGTTCCCCCATTTCTTAGGGAAAAACTGCCATTCTCACATTTTCCTCTAAATTCGATATATAAGGCATCATCTACCCCGCTCCAAAATGAAGAAATGGGTGGAAAAAATATTAAAAAACCCTTTGGGAAACAGGCATTTAAAAAATCTAAACATTTAAAATAAAAAAGGGGTGGAAAAGTAAATATTTTGAAGGATTAAAAAAACAAACAACCAAAATATTATTGCAGATCTGCAAATTAAAACTATTTTTTATACAAGGTTTACCTTTTCTCACCCACCAAGTTGAAGTCTCTGCTTTTTGACTTTTTGCCTGTTATCACAAGCAGAGAATAACAGAGGAAAACATATTTTACTCTACGCTGACAGAATCAAATTGAACTTATCAACATTATTTTTAAACACATTCCTTTATGTTCACCCACAGCACCCTTAACAAATGCCTGGGATGAAATTTGGGGCTTAATTACAAGAAATTATGGAGTTCTTTATCTGAGATCTTAGAGAAGTAAAGCACAAACAGAGCTGGGAATGACAACATCCTTTAGCTCCGGGGATAATGTTGGCACGGGGAGGTGTGATGGGAATGACTGGGAGACATGGAGGTGTCTGACTACACAATCCACCCAACTGCTGTGATTCTGAAATGAAAATAATGTCTGATTAACAAAATAATGTCTGATTAACATGATAAACCCGAGAAGTACCACTGAAGTGAGGTATTTGCAAGGAGAAAACATGTGATGAAAGCTGCATTACATCACATTCCTCTTATAGCCCAAATTGATGTTCACTTAAAATTCAGAATCCCTGATCATCTGTAGAAAATAAATTTGTCCCATTTCAAAATCAGTTGCATTCCCAGCTAAATTTCAATTTTTTTCCAGCTAAATCTCCTATTCTCTTCTGGAAATATTTCATTTCCTCAAAGAACTGCCCTTTGGTAAAGCTATGGATGAGCAAAAGCTTTTACACCTGAGCTTGGAACAGCTTCTCTGCATCACATGCAACTGGTTTAAATCTCTCTCTCTCACCTGTGCCAGACTGGAAATAGGAACTTAATATTACTCTAGGAAAAAAAAAAAAGGGATTACAGGAATAAGCAGTAGTTTTTCTTTTCTTGAGCACTTCCGTACAAAGCAGTTTTTAGAAAATTGAATTTAAAGAACATACTGAATGTAGGAGAGAAAAATCTGATTTTCAGTATTTTTCTTCTACAATTTCAGCCTCGGACCACAATCAATAAAAGACTTCTTTAATCCTTCCAAGGTGCTCAACTAAACCTCTGGTTTTAGTTGGAACCTTCTCCCAGGTCACAAAAGGTTTGGTGTCGTGTCTGTGCCGATACAAACCCGCTTTTGGAGCTGAAAGAAGAGGGGGAAAAGGTAAAACACCTCTGTCTAGTTTTATTGTAAGAGTCCAAAGAAAATGCCCTTCAACCTCCTCTACCAGGAACTGCACTGAACTCACAGGCACAATATTTTCTACAGCAACAATACAACACCAGAGCGATTATTTTGCCTTTATTTTCCCAAGAATAAGAAAATGGCCAAGAATCACAGAATGGTGGAATTTTTTAGGTTGGAAAAGGCCTCCAATATCACCGAGTGCAGCACCCCAAGGCCTTCCTGCCACCAGTTTATGCCAGTTTAAGACAATAATTGCACCATAACTGGAAAAGAAACCCCACACAGAGTCAGGTTGATATTGGCAGGGTTTGATGTGTGAGATTTATGACGTTGATACCATCTTTGCCTCGTGTTTACACCAGTTTGGTGTTCCTGGGCAATCCTTGGAATCCTCTCAGCTCCTGGAATGCACCAGGAATGACTGTGAGAGCTTCTGGGAAGACACCAGCAATTCCCAGTGCTGCTATTCCATGCCCAGGGAACTGCAACAGTGAACTCCTGCTGTTGAATCAATTAAGTCTGAAAATCAGGTGTGAAGAACAGTGAGTTTAAATATCGAACTCACTTAAAACCAGCTTTTATCCAGAAGTACCTCAACTCATTTCAGGTGGTAGGAGGTTCCATTTCTAAGAAATATAAGTATCTGAATTGAACTCCTAATTGAAAATGTAAATTTAACAGCAGATCATATATATATGTGTGTGTGTGTGTGTGTGTGTGTGTGTGTGTTTATACATATAACATTTTTATCTATATATAAATATAGATTTATTTATAAGTATAAATTAAATAAACATAAGTATATTATATTTATAAATAAATATAAATATATTTATATCTAGATATATTTTTATATATTTATAATATATTTATATATTTATATCTAGATATATTTTTATATATTTATAATATAAATAAATAGAAATATATTTACATCTAGATATATTTTTATATATTTATAATATAAATATATATTTATAATATCAATTTATATATTTATAATATAAATAAATAGAAATATATTTATTTATTACCCATAATAAATAGGTAACTTTTGCAAATTACAATTTATAATGTAATAATAAATATATAAATATATTAAAATATTAATAAATAAATAATAAAGGATAATAAATATAAAATTAAAATAATAAAAATTAATAAATATTATAAATTAATATAAATATATTTATTACCTGTAATAAATAGGTAACTTTTGCAAGTTACATTTTCATGCCCCACGTGACATTTATGTTCATTAAAAGCACTAATCACACGGGTGACATCCACTCTTACATTTATCCTGGATATTTCCATACTGGCTTTTCCCTACAGTACAATCCCCTTTTTTTTGTTTGTTTTTTTTTATATGGTTTTATTATAAATTGTAGCTTAACACCAGTGGAGAAGAGCTGATGAAAATCCCCTTCCC